ATGCAGAGCTTGAAAGCAAAGAATCCTTTCCAAGCTACTATCTTAAATCAATTACCATATACCCAATCAAGTCATGTGCTGGATTTTCTGTGACTCGTTGGCCACTTTGCAGAACCGGTATTTGTGTGCAATTTTGCTTTGTCATACTCCAAATCAGTGCTGCATTTTGTGCAGGTATTAGTGGTTGGACTGATCTCTTTGATATCTATGAATTAACTTGTGTTTTATGTTTGAAAAATACTAAGGCCTGCTGCATGATCGAGAATGGATGATTCAAGGTCTGACGGGTGAAATTCTTACCCAAAAGAAGGTACTAGAGCTAGAGCATTTTCTAACTGGAATCTTTATATCTACAGATCTGTTAGCAAAGTTTTAATTTGCTTGGGAATGTCTTCTAGGTGCCTGAGATGTCTCTTATTAGCACTGTTATCGACCTTGAGGAAGGATTATTGTCTGTAGAATCTGCTCGCTGCAAAGACAAGTTGCACATTAGAATCAAGTCTGATTCGTATAATCCAAGGAGCCATGTGTTCGATTCACATGCCAACAACAAGTATGCTCCCTAACATATAATTTCTTACTTGAACTGCATTTAATAAATTTGTTCTTGGTTGCAGACTTGAAAATCATAACGAGGAAACTAGAATCAATTCTTGGTTCACTAATGCCATTGGTCGGCAATGCAAGTTGTTACGGTATTCTAGCTTTACTTCCAAACACTGCTTGAATAGAAACAAGAGTCCTGGGTTGTGCAGAGATTTGGAAAGCAATATCAACTTTGCTAATGAAGCTCAGTTTTTATTAATCTCCGAGGAGAGTGTTGCTGACCTAAACAGAAGATTAGAAGCTAGTACGTTTTCATCTCCTTTTAATCTTGCATCTTGTTCCTTTTCACTCTTCACTCAGTAAAAACTGATTTGGTTGCAGAAGACGAGGATTACAACCGAGCTAATGAGAAACTCGATGCATATAGATTCAGACCAAATCTGGTTATATCCGGAGGTGAGCCATATGCAGAAGATAAATGGAGAACTGTCAAGATAGGAGACCATCATTTCACAGTAAGTCCATGGATGGATCCATATAACATTCGATTCGTAATCATATGTACAAACTTCACAGTGCTTGGGCTTCTTTTTCCCGTTTGATGCAGTCGTTGGGCGGTTGTAACCGGTGCCAAATGATAAACATAAGTAAGGAGGCTGGACAAGTGAAGAAATCCAACGAGCCCTTAACAACTTTAGCTTCATATAGGAGAGTAAAGGTTCAACATCCTGAAACCATTTCTATTTCCATTAAAAAGGTATTTGATAATTGTTTGTGAAGTAACATTTCTTGGTCTTTCACTGGATTCAGGGAAAGATCTTGTTTGGAACTCTTCTGAGATACGAGATTGATGCAAAAACAGAGTCTTGGATTCGAGTTGGGGAAGAAGTGAATCCAGATATTGAATAGGACTGACTATACATAAACTACAGGAAGTAACATATCAGCAAATCTGTTACTTGATTTGTATACCATTGTATTACTCCAACTTTGTAGAGAAATAAGAAAAGCTCCGAATAATAGGAATATTCAAAATTGTTTTTAGTCTACTAGTTTCTACTTTGTATTAAACCAATTTATTAGAACCAGAAATGAACGGAATATTGCAATAAACATATACAAAATTAATGTTATGTATATGGTCTATATCAGTATCCAACCTTCCTCTTCTTGTTGTGTATTTCTCTAGATCTTGAATTGATAAGTTCCTTAGGTATGGCTGCTCCACAACTTTTTAAAGCCTCGACCAAATCAGGAAACAAATTTCTGTTTTCCTCATTCACAAACAAAAAGGCAGTGCCCATCTTAGATGCCCTGCCAATTACATGTATGTACTCCTTGATGGTCTTAGGCATGTCAAACACTATTACCTGCTTTACCACCAAGAGGTCAACTCCTCTGCCTAAAACTCCAGTCGATACAAGAACGGGCACCTCTCCAGCTAAAAAAGAACCCATTACGTCTCTCCTCTCTTCCATTGGCTTCTCCCCATGGATCGATAAAGCTTTTATCCCCGTGACCACAGTTATAGCATTAGCCAAGAGATCTGCTCCAACTCGAGAACTCACGTAAACAACAGCTGGGGGCTTGAAATGGTTTTGACTCCTCAGTATCTCAAAGAGCTTTTGTTTCTTTTGCTTTGCATCAACCCATATAGCCAGTTGGTTGACAGCTTTGTTAGGTATGTTGGGTTTACCAACGGATAACGAAATCATTTCCTTTGCTAGTGACCTTCCTACTTTCTCCACCTCTCTTGAGACTGTCGCAGAGAAGAGCAAGACCTGAGGTTGCGATAAAGCCCGAAATATCTGCATCACCTGATCCCTGAAGCCTTTCTCAAGCATGCAATCAACCTCATCCAGCACAAACATCATAACGTAATCCAGTTCAATGGCGTGCTTCGTTAAAAGGTCCACAAGCCGACCTGGAGTACCAATGATCAATTCCACACCTTGCTGAATACGATAAAGCTGTGCAGACATGGGATCACCACCTACAACGAGTGCAGTCTTAAATGGCAATCCTTTTCCGAGAATCTTAGCCTGATCTTCAACTTGGACACAAAGCTCTCTAGTTGGAGCCAAAACCATAGCCAAAGGGCTCCTCTGCTCTGAAGGATGCTCAGAACGATACCTCGCACAACGAGAAACAATAGGAACAAGAAAAGAAGCCGTCTTCCCAGAGCCAGTACCGGCCGAAACAAGCATACTTTTACCGGTTAAAGCAACCGGAATCGCTTGCATCTGAATAGGAGTGGGAAATTCATACCCAGCAGTTTCTAAATTGAGAAGAAGCTTATGAGTAAGCCCACATGAATTAAAAGACAAGACAGGAGGAGGAACTTCCTCTGATCCTCCTCCTCCTTGTACATCAATCTCAAACTTGGTTCTAAGCAATTGAGCATCGTTGAAACAAGTTCCTGGTTCTCTAACATAGAAACACTCGTCTCTAGCAGGAATCACTCTAGTATTGTTGTCAAGAATCTTTTTCAAGAGTGTTTGCTTACATTCGAGGCTGCAAATGTCGTCGTTGGTTTGGTCACAAATGTATTCGCCATAACGACCGCAGATTACACAAACTGGCTCTTCGGGAAGAGGGTCTCTTTGATCTACTGACTTTTGTTTGATACCATCTACAAGGGACAATGGTGGATTTGGAGGGTTAATAAGACACTAAAAGAGGAATCGATAAAAACCAGAAGATGAAAAATCGTACAGACTAACCAGAGAGGTGAGATTCTTCGTTCATAACTCGTAAAGAGGAGAATCAATAGATTCGCAAACGCTAAGGATTTTCGACTTTGACAATCCGCGAGAAGGAGGAAGAAGAAGAAATCCAGATAAATACATGGAGGTTTTAGTTATTTTTTTCTTTTTACAAGTAGAAGAAGGAAATAATAACATACGAAACGCATCGTTTTGTGTTTAAAATAAATAAATAAAAACACGTGGTCTTGT